TGAGGAGGGGAGGGAGGATTGGGAGAGGTGGAGGAGATTTGGGGCGGGGATAAATGGTGATGGATAGAGACTTGACTTGGGGTAGTGAACACACAATATAGTGCATAGATGATGTAGAATTGTGCACCTAAAACCTGTATAATTTTGTTAACCAGTGTCACCCTAATACAATCAATAAAAAAGATATTGTATATAGAGAGCCCTAAAGATGCACCAAAAAACTACTAGAACTGATAAATATATTCAGTAAAGTAACAGAATACAAAGTAAATATACAGAAATCAGTTCCATTGTTATACAATAATGAATTACCAGAAAATGAAACTAAGAAAACAATTCCATTTACAATTGTATAAAAAAATAAAATACCTAGAAATAAATTTAACCCAAGGATGTAAAAGACCTGTACTCATAAAATTATAAGACACTGAAGATGATATAAATAAGTGGAAGCATATACCATGTTCATAGATAGGAAGAATTAACATCATTAAAATGTCCATACTGAGAACCAAAATGGCAGCATAGATAAACTTACTGCCTCCCACAACCACATCAAAATTGAAACTAAAATAGAAAACAGCCATCATTTAGATCTGCCTTAAATCTAGCTGAATGGGAACACTACAACTAGAGAAGGAAAGAAGAAGCACACTAAGACTGGTAAGAGGGACAGGGGCACAGAATGGGTGGGCCCGACACCCACATGTGGCTTTTTTTTAAATTGGGAGGGATATATTGGCTACAAAGTCCTCTCGTGAGGAGCAAGGGGTCCCAGCCCTACACCAAACCCCCAGTCCAGAGTTCCAGAGCTGGGAAGATAAGTCCCCTTACTTTTGGGCTGTAAAAACCAGTGGGAATTGTGGCTGAGTGACACAAAAATTGCTAGAGACCCAGGCAGTTCATCTTAAAGGGCCGGCACATGAACTGACTTGAATTCACTCACTCTGAGCTCCAGCCTTGGGACAAGGGCTTGGGGAGGATCCAGGGACATACTGGGAGTCACTAGATCATCTGGAATCAGAGCAAGAACTCAGGGATGGCTTTCTCCCAGACAGCGGTGCTCACAGGGTTCATTGTTTTATGCTGAGACCTCCCCCATTGCAGAGCTGACTGACAGCCATAGCTGAGTTTCCATCAGCCTGGCTCAAACTGTTTGCTCCCCCCTGGTGATTCCCTGAAATCCTGCTCCATCCAATTTGTATCCCCACCCAAGCTGTTTGCATATGAATGGCCTGTCCTGGCTCAGGCCTCAGACTTTCCTAAAATCTCTCAAACAAGCAGCAGCTGGTGTCAGAAAGACCTAGCACTAACAGTAGTCTGCCTTGCTTCACAGCTTGGCCTCTCCTGGGCACTTCCATGCCCAACACAAGTAGCAACCATCTGCAAATCGCTCTGTAGCCTCTGCCAGCACTACAGCCACAGTGGCTGACTTTGCACCTCCCAGGAGGCCTCAGAGCCAGTGCACGTGGTGGACAGCCTCAGACTATACCAGATTACAACTTTACACATCCATGAGTGACACACTCAAGGGGTATACTCAGTGAGCACAAAAGCCCCACTGAAGCAAGTCCTGCTCCATAGGGTATTTCCTGCACAGCAGCTCTCCCATTGTACTCATAGCTGGTTCTCCTGGAGGTCATTTTCTCCCAGTGCTGCCAACAGCAATCAAGTCTCAACTACAACAATACTGTACACACAGCCCACACAGGGGCACACCTGGAGTGCCCAGTTCAGGTGACTGGGGAGGCTGCACCACTGGTCCCTACAGGTCTACTATACAAGGCCACTCTACCAATTCCAGGTGACATAGTAGCTCTACCTAATACATAGAAACAAACACAGGGAAACAGCTAAAATGTGGACACGAAGAAACATGTCAGAAATGAAAGAATAGAAGAAGTCTTCAAAAAAAGAACTAAATGAAATGGATGCACGGAAAGTACTAGATATGGAGTTTAAAACAATGATGATAAGGTTGCTCAAGGTTCTTAATAAGAGTTTCAAGGGACTTAGTGAAATTTTCAAGGATCTCAGTAAGAATGTCAAAGACATGAAAAAGGACCAGCCAGAAATTAGGCATACACTAACTGAAGTAAATAATAATTTATAGGGATTCAATAGTACAGTAGAAGATTCTGAGAATCAAATCGATGACTTGGACTATGAAAAAGCAAATAACACCCAATCAGAAGTGAAGAAAAAAAAGAATAAAAATATGAAGGTAGTGCAAGGATCCTCTGGGACAACTTCAAGCATACCAACATTCGCATCATGGGGGTACCAGAAGGAGAAGAGAGAGAGCAAGATATTGAAAACCTATATGAAGAAATAATGACAGAAAACTTCTCCTACCTGGTGAAAGAAGTAGACTTACAGATCCAGGAAGCACAGAGAGTCCCAAACAAGAGGAACCAAAAGAGACCGACACCAAGACACATCATAATTAAAATGCCAAAGGTTAAAGATAAAGAGATAATCTAAAAGTAGCAAGAGAAAAAGAGTTAGTAAGGAGGAGGAGGAGGAGGAGAAAGATAAAAAATATGAACAATAAAATGGCAATAAATACATATTTATCAACAATTGAATCTAAGAATTAAAATAAATGAACAAGGAATCTAATGAACAAAATAAATGGATGAAGAAAATAGAGCCAGAGGTATGGAACAGACTGACAAATCTCAGAGGGAAGGGGTATGGGGCGATGGGAAGAGATTAACTAAATAACATATATGCATTACCTATGGACACAGACAATACTGTGGTGATGGCCTAGGGTGAGGTGGGAACCAGGTGGAGGGGGACAATGGGGAGAATACAGGGAACATCTGTAATATGTTCAACAATAAAGATTTTTTAAGAAAATAAAATCTCCAAACTATAATAAGCAATCTATAACGCAATGTAATTCCTATCAAGTTACCAATGGCATATTTCACAGAACCAGAATATTCCAAAACTTTATATGGAACCACAAAAGACCCTGAATAGCCACAGATTCTTGAGAAGAACAAAGTTAGAGGAATCATATTCCTAATATCAAACTATAACACAAGGCTATGGAAATCAAAACAGCGTATTAGCTGATATAAAAACAGACATAGAGATCTATGGAACAGAATAGAGAGCCCGGAAATATACCAATGCCTTTATGGCCAATTAAAATGTGACAAAGGGGGCAAGAACATATAATGGGATAAAGATAGTCTATTCAATAAATGGTGTTGGGAAAACTGGACAGATAGTTGCAAAAAAAAGAAACTAGACCACCTTCTTACACCCTACACAAGAATAAACTAAAAATGGATTAAAGGCTTAAATTTTAGACCCAAAACCATCAAAATTCTAGAAGAAAATATAGGCAGTAAAATCTCAGACATTTCTCATAGCAATATTTTTTCTAATATATCTCCTCTGACAAAGGTAATGATGGAAAAAGTAAACAAATGGGACTACATAAAACTAAAAAGTTTTCGCACAGCAAAGGTAACCATCAACGAAATGAAAATGGAACCCACTGAATGGGGAAACGTATTTGGCAATGATACATTTGATAAGGGGTTAATATCTAAAACTTATAAAGAACTTAATTCAACAAAACAATCCAATTAAAAAAATGGACACAGGACCTGAATAGACACTTCTCTGAAGAGAACATACAGATGGCTAATAGACATATGAAAAGATGCTCAAGGTTACTAATCACGAGAGAAATGCAAATTAGAACCACAATAAAATGTCCCCTCACACCTGTCAGAATGGCTACCTTCGGTAAATTAACAAGCAATAAATGTTGACGAGGATGCAGTGAAAAGGGAATCCTAGTGCTCTGTCGGTGGAAATGCAAATTGGTGCAGCCACTGTGGGAAGCAGCACGGACTTACCTCAAAATATAAAAATGTAACTACCTATGACCCAGTGATGCCACTTCTGGGAATATATCCAAAGAAACCATAACACTAACTTAAAAAAAAATGCACCCCTGTGTTCACTGCAGCATTATTTACAGTTGCCAAGATTTGGAAGCAGTAGATAAGTGACTAAAAAAGGTACAGTCGATGTGGCTCAGTGGTTGAGCGTCGGCCTCTGAAGCAGAAGGTCACAGTTCGATTCCCAGTCAGGGCACATTCCTGGGTTGTGTGGTCAATCCCCTGGGGGGGGGGGGGGGTTCAGGAGGCAAGCTGATCAATGATTCTCTCATCATTGATGTTCCTATTTCTCTCTCCTTCTCCCTTCCTCTCTGAAATTAATAAAATATATATATATATTTAAAAAGCTCTAGTATATTTACATAGTGAAATACTATTCAACCACAAAAAGAAGAAAATCTTACCCTTTGCAGCTGTACTGATGGAACTGGAGAGTATTATGCTAAGTGAAATAAGCCAGTCAGAGAAAGACAAATACCATATGATCTCACTTACATGTGGAAACTAGTGAAAAATAAACTAACAAAATAGAAACAGAAGCATGGATACATGGAACAGACTGAGAGCTATCAGAGGGAAGGGTTTGGGGGATTTAGTGACAAAGGTGAAGAGATCAAGCAAAAAATAACTCAAAAATTATTTTAAATAATCAAACTCATCATGAAATTGAATATTTATTTTAATTTCTCCTGGTAATAGCACTCAACATATAAGAAAAACAAAGCAAGTTGTGAGATTTTGTTTTTCAAAAATTGAAAAGTTGGGTTCTGAATTTAATGGCAACAAGTGGGACATCCATTTTAAAACTACCATTCAAAAAGTAGTATTTTAAGAAATATATACTATGAGTAACATGATGTGTTTTATAGAATGGATACATATCCAAATGCCAATGTGAATACGGAAGAATTATATGTATTAAAAACACACTGGAAAACCAAATGTTCTTTTTTATAAAAAGCAGCTTGAAATAAAAAGGAACTTGCTAGTGAACTGAATAAACTTTCACACATGGGATTTTTCTTTTACAAATCCCCACCCACCCCACCCCCACAAAAAAAAGTGGTCGGTTTGAATAGTGCCATTATACGACAGGTCATTTCTGTACAATGTGGAAGACAGTTATGCAGTCAATGGTCACTTCCTAAAGTGCGTCTTTTGAAGACTTGTCTAGTAAAATTGCAATATCAAATATATAGATACTTAACATAAGACATGCAACAACAAAGCTAACTCATTTAGTTTAAAGTTTTTAAAACTACTTTTAAAACTTTTGATTCACCAAAAAATAGAGATGTCAAATACAGTAGCATTCTCATTCTCCAACAGTGTGCATTGTATGCTTTTGTTATTTGGTAAATCTTTTGGTGTGGAACAAAATTAATGCAGTCTAACAATATTTCTTCTGGCTGTCATTGTAATACGATTCCTCGGGCAGAACAGTTAGGTGCAGAGCAAGAGTTAGATTTTTGGAAGTTTTGGTGCATTAACCACAGGATTTGCCTCCTGTAAGTATCTCCTCCCTGCACTCTTGTAATCATAGGTGCAGCCATGAGTTTCTGCATAGCGATGAGATGCACAGAAGTTGTTTCCACATCTAAAGCACAAAAAAGTTCACATGAATAGTCACATTTTTATTAGAGGCTCTTCTCTGGGAGATCAGCGCTTGACTTCAGGGAGTCCAACAGGAGCCCTGTGGTTCTCTTGAGCCATTTCAACACGGGCATTTCCCTTCTGCTTATAGACAAGCATAAGAACCACCCCCAAAAGAACAAGCTAATTGTCCATAATCATGAGAGTTTATAATAAAGAATCCATTATGGAATGAAATAGGGTGTAGACCTTTGGGAAGTAGTAAAATTGCAAAAACTGATAAATAGTCCAACTATTTAAACCTGGGAGAACTATGAATTTCTGAGAAATTTGTCTGATAGGAAAATTAAATTATGTAAAAGCTAACTAAACCACGAATGGATTTAAAAAATATTTCTAGCAACAAGATAAGCTGTTCCCATTTGAATAAAATACACTCTAAAAAGCAGCAGTTGTTTTTAATATCTGTCCTCAACCTAAGGGCAGACACCATCCTTGAAGCATATTAATCTATACTAATGAAAGAAATAATTATGGGTAGGAAGAAATTCATTAATTTTTATAAATGTATTATTCATCTGTTTTGAAATAAAAAGCATACTATATAATTGTTAAAATTTATACTACATTAATTTTAAATGTAGTCCTTTCTTATTAAATTTAAAATAGAATATTAGAGGGATTCTTCCAAGCTGTATTACAACAACAAAAAATAAGTATATCTATCATAAAAAAAGTGTCGTCTCCCATCGGTTTAAACCTTCGCATTTAAAGGGCAGGGCAGGGTCTCATGAGTTTGGAAATTCATGAGCTATCTAGTTGCTCTTTACTTCAACCAATTAGGAGGAGTTACACAGAGGTCTGCCATATGAACATCATCTTCATGATGTTCTGAATAACCAACTTAAAGAACATTTTACATTGTATTCCCAAGTTGGGCTATCACAAAGAAAGCATCTCAACTTTTCCAGCTAGCCAACCTGCCTGCATTCGTAGCTAGTAGCCAGTCCAGTTTTCTTCCCACAAAGAAAACAATGCTTTGCTGTTTTCTTCTTTGTTTGAATAGGGGCTTGCACAGGTGGGAGGAGATGAGTACATTCTCCTGTTTAGAGAAAGGAAACCTTGATTAATACAGGCATAAAATTCTAAATGTGAAATGCTATTAAGCAAAACACAAGCAAACTTCTATTCCATAAAAATTAGTTTGTGCTATTTTTTTATCTAAAATTATTTATAGAATCTGCAAGTGAAGATGCAGAACTGTTATATGTTTAAGATGTGGTAGGTTTCAACTAACTGTGACTCATATTTTTAGAATGTTTGTACACACCAACACATTAGTGATTATTTCTAGGACAATCAGCATATATAAAGTGCATTAAACTTTGACAGTGAATCAAGAAAAATGTCTGATTCAAAATCATTTTTATGAGGCCTCTGAAAAACAACATCATATGTAATACAGTCACCCTGTTTTTTCACACCAAGAAGGAGCAGCAGAGTCTCATGAAATTGATCTTTTAGTCATAATTATGCCACAGAAATCAAATTCAGCAAGCAAGTTATTTATTCTTTCAAAACTTCAATTTGTTCATTTTTAAGATACCGGAACATCTACTTTTCTCTCTAGACTTCTAAGTGTTTTAAGGTCAACTCAGTTCTAATATATAAAAAGCATTCTAGAAATTTTAAATGTTATAATTATATAAAACATACTAGCAATAATTACTAATATGGTTGATTTCACAGTACAACCTTTTCAAAAAACATTTACTAAATTCTGTACTATTGTAACATTTACTAAATTTCGTACTATCATATCTGTTATAAGAAAGAATAAATCTATTTCTTTAATTACTAAGTGGAATGCTTTTAGAATTGAGCAAATTTCCAACAAACCCCTCATAAGTAGAGAGGCTCAAACTCATGTCCATAGTTGCTACAACAATGCAAGTACATAGTGCTTGGTAGCACTTAAAGTTCAAGAAGCAAGAGGCAAAGAAAACAAAAACAAGGGGAAGGAATGAGAAGGAAAATTGCTGTGTCAATGGACAGGCACCTATTTTGCGTGCGCTATTGCGAAAGGTTTGGTAGGCCTGGGCTTCATGTTTATATGGCAGCTAAAAGTCTCTAAAAATTCTTCAAGAGTTCAAAAAATTAGATTTACAAACACACCTTTTTTTCACAACCTGGATTGGGTGCTGGATATACCAGCCAGACAAAATCACATCTGCTCTATTACCAGTCTAAAATGCATGCCCAGATCTTGCCCCATACTGGAAACATTTGAAACAACTAACGGAATGATTCTAATAATGCTGAGCACCCACTCAGCATTCACTTTCTTTTTCAAGTGCACTTAGCTATTAAGAACATTTCACACAGGTGATGGGATACTTTCCACATCTTAAAAAGTAAAAATAAGGTACACATTTTCACAGCAACCAAAAGAAAGGCACATACTACTGGATATCCTCTATCAGCTCATCAAATGGCACTTATCCCTGAAATTCAGGCTTAAAAGTCTCCTCTAAATAAAGTAAAAAATCTATTGATGATAGAGCTTAGTTCAGTGGAGTCATATTTTCATTTTTTCTTTTGTTAGGGGTGCTTAACTCAATGTTTCCCAAACTTTTTTCATTCAAGAACTCTTGTGAATGTGCTAAGACAGAGAACATCATTGTATCAGGAATGAAGTGGCACCAAAACATAACTGCAATCTTCTATGAGAACAGTTTCCACATGCCTTTCCACCCATCAGAGAAAACCACTCTGTAGTCATCTATTCCCGGCTAATATATAGGTTTCATACAACAAATCAGAAAAAAGTCAAAGTCCTTGGACTGGCATTCAAACTGTGCTATGTCCAACATAATACCTAACTTTCCAAAGTCATTGACCACATCATAGCCACTCTGAATGATGCACCAGACACATTACATGCACAGTCTCTTCTAAAGTGCTCTATTCTACTTTGCCAATCTAAGAAAACTCGACTTATCCTATAAGAAAATATCAATCATCAACTCCTCTCTGAAGCTTTCTCTCAAATGTGTGTCATACAAATCTTTAAAAAGTCAATAAAGTAATATTGATGTGAAGAGTTGCTTTTGAGAAAAAGATTAAATATATTTGGATTAACTCACTTGTTTGGTATTTCCAGGTCTAATATTTTATCTAGCACAATGATCTATAAAAAATTCACCCTTGCCCTGACCAGTTTGGCTCAGTAGATAGAGCATTGGCCTGCTGACTCGGGGGTCCCGGGTTCGATTCCAGTCAAGGGCATGTACCTTGGTTGCGGGCACATGCCCAGTAGGGGAGTGTGCAGGAGGCAGCTGATTGATGTTTCTCTCTCATCGATGTTTCAAACTCTCTATCCCTCTCCCCTCCTCTCTGTAAAAAATCAATAATATATATATATATATATTTTTAAAAATTCACCCAACAGAAAATGCAGTCAACAAAGTAATAAAGTAGTGCTCAAGATGCAAGTTTGGTAACCATCTACCAAAATGATAACTAAAGCTATAAAGAGGATAAAATTTCCAAGGGAAACCCAATAGTGAAAAGCAAAGAGGACCAAAGAAGAACTTAGTAGGTCAATTAAATAAAACTTATACCAAAACTTTCACAGGTTCTTTTAGGTAATTCAGAATGATACAGTTATTACTGAAAGGAAATGGCAGCAAGTTACAGAGCTCTAGTTGTAGGAAGCAGCAGATGGCTTGACCAAAATGAAGTCAACCAAAAGAGTATATACCAGAGGGCTGGTAAAACAAGTACAACAGAAAAATGAGGTTAAAATAAAAATTTACAACAATGTGATAGACCAGAATGAGAGAGGGAAAAAGAGAGTTTGAGAAAAAGACCAAAAAACAAAAACCCATTTGAAGAAGGATGGCCACAGCCCTGGCCGGTGTGCCTCGGTTGAATGTTATCCTGTGCATAAATGTTGTGGGTTCAGTCCCCAGTCAGGGGGCCTACAGGAGTCAACCAATCGATGTATCTCTCTCTCACATTGATCTTTTTCTCTTTCTCTCTCCGTCTCCTTTCCTCTCTCTTTAAAAAAATAAGTAAAAACCTTTTTTTAAAAAAAAAAAAAAGGATGGCCACAACAATCAGGATAAAAATACAAAAGCATCCACTGGATTCAAAATTTTGGAGATCTTTAGCAACCTCAGCAACAGAAGTTTCAGAGGAGCAGTGAGAAGAGAAGTGAAGAAAGCACTGAGGCCTGAATTAAAGTTAAGAGAAAAGAAATAAGTGAAACACAAAAGGCCGAGCTGTGGATTAGGACAGGACAGACTTGAATATGGATCAGGAAAAATAATTATAACATTAAAAGTGAATATATTACAATAATCAAAACAGTGTGGCACTGGCATAAAGACAGTCATATAGATCAGTGGAACACAATTAGAGAATCCAGAAATAAACCCTCACATATACGGTCAAATAATTTTTGGTAAGTGTGACAATACCATTCAATGGGAAAAGAACAGTCTTTTTAATTTAACAAATGGTCTGGTAAAAGTGAATACATACATGGAAACAAGTAAAATGAGACCCATACATTATACCATATGTAAAAATTTATTCAAAATATATCAAAAACCTAAATGTAAGACCTAAGTCTATAAAACTTAACAAGAAACAAGCAACCTGATTAAAAAATGGGCAAAGGATTTAAATAGACATTTCTCGAAAGAAGATATATGAATGGCTAAATATACATACAACAAGATACTCAGCATCACTAATCATCAGGGAAATAAAAGTTAAAACCACAATGAGATCCCACCCCACACCTGTTAGGATATCCACTACAAAAAAAGGAAGGAAGAAAGGAAGGAAGGAAGGAAGGAAGGAAGGAAGGAAGGAAGGAAGGAAGGAAGGAAGGGAGGAAGGGAGGGAGGGAAAGAGGAAGTAAGAGAGGGAGGGAGGAAGGGAGTAAGGAAGGAAGAAAGAAAAGAAATAACAAGTATTGGTGAGAATGTGAAGAAATTGGAAACCATGTACATTGTTGGTGGGAATGCAACATGGCACAGCCACTATGGAAAACAGTATGACTGACAAGCATGGTTATGCTACACAGAAAAGCTATCATTTAGAATCAAAGGACAAATAAAGAGCTTCACAGACAAAAAAAGCTAAAGGAATTCATTACCGCCAAACCAGTATTATAAGAAACTACAGGCCTGGTGCACGACACTCATGCACTGGGGCGGGTAGGGGGGGTCCCTCAGCCCAGCCTGTGCCCTCTTGCAGTCCGGGACCCCTCAGAGGATATCCGCCATCCAGCTTAAGCCTGCTCCGCTTAGGGAGCAGGCCTAAGCCGGCAGGTAGACATCCCCCAAGGGGTCCTTAGCGCTGCCACAGAGGCGGGAGAGGTTCCCGCTACTGCCGCTGTGAGCCTGGCTTCTGGCTGAGTGGCACTCCCCCATGGGAGCGCACTGACCACCAGGGGGAAGCTCCTGCAATGAGCATCTGCCCCCTAGTGGTCAGTGTGCGTCATAGTGACTGATCATTCTGCTGTTTGGTTGATTTGCATATTAGCCTTTTATTATATAGGATGATAAAGAGGCTTCTTTAAAATATATATATATATATATATATATATATATATATATATATATATAATATAAATAATAAAATGACAGTAACTACATAGCTATCTACACTAATAAAAGAGAAAGATGCAAATTGTACCTTCACAATGCCCACAAGCCAATCAGGAATGAGTATGCAAATTAACCCACCATCTTTGTTGGGTTAATTTGCATATGCAGGTGTCAAGCAGTCAGGGGCAGGGCAGGATGCTTGCGTCATTGCCATGGTGACGATGCAGGCATTCCATACCACCCCAGCCGCTCCGGGCCTCTGGGCAGCGTGGGGAGGCGGAAAGGCGGCTTCGGGCCACAGCAAAGGCGTAAGGTGGCTCCTGCCGAAGCAAAGGCGGTGCCAGCAGCCAGGGGAAGGAAGGCCCATTCTTGCATGAGTCTTCATGCATCGGGCCTCTAGTCAACAATAATTGTAAATGTAAATGCATTAAATGTTAAAATCAAAAGACATAAGGTGGCTGAATGGATAAGAAAAGAAGACTCTTACATACACTATTGATAAGAGACTCAATTCAGATGGAAAGACACACACAGACTGAAAGTAAAGGGATAGGGAAAGATATTCCATGAAAATGGAAACAAACGAAAAAGCTAAGGTAGCAATTACTTATACCAGACAAAACAGATTTAAAAACATAGGCTATAACAAGAGAAAAGTAGGACCCAGCAATTTCACCTCCGGGTATTTATCCAAAGAAACCCAAAACACTAATTTGAAATGACAATATGCATCTATATGTTCACTGAAGCATTATTAACAATAGTCAAGATATGGGAGCAACCTTACTGTTCATCAATGGATGAATGGATAAAAAAAGTGCTACATATACACAATGGAATATCCCTCAGTGACAAAAAGAAATGAAATCTTGCCATCTGGAACAACACAAATGGACTGGACCTAGAGGATACTGTGCTGAGTTAAATAAGTCTGACAAAGACAAATGCCATATGATTTCATTTATATGTGCAATCGAATAAATAAATAAACCGACAAACAAACTCGTATATACAGAAAACATTTTGATGGTTGCAAGATGGAAGGAAGGTTGGGTGGAATGGGTGAAAAGGGAGAAAGGATTAAGAAGTACAAACTGAATGGACAGAGGAGGTAAGAAAGGCAGGTCCAGACTGAAGGTGAGTTCACACTCCTAACAGTGAACTCCGAGGTGCTCTGGGCAATTAAAAAATCAGATTTGGAACTGGTGGAATCCAGCCTTGTTACACAGCTGCACCCTCTCACGTGCACCCACACCCAGCAGAGAAAGCCACCAACTGCAGATCACTGGTAGCTCTACACAGTACCCCAGGGCTGATCACAGGGAGTGTCTGACATTGAGCTGTGCTGGAGTTCTTCTCAAAAGTCCCCAGAACCAGCACACCCAGTGGCAGGCTTCAGACCACACCAGAGCACAATCCAATTAGCTTCACAAGTGGCACATCAAACAGGAGATCCTAGCAGGCACCAGACACTGGGCCAATTCCCCTTTGTGGAGTCAGCTGTCAACAGCTGCTTGAACACTGTTGTTGGGGTCAATCCTCATAATCAGCCAGCCTGACAGTCAACTCCACCCACAAACAGGCCAACAGCAATCAAGACACAACTACAACAAGAGGGCTCACCAAACCACACAAGAAACATTCCTGGAGCATCCAGTTCAGGTGACCAGGGAGATTATGCCACTGAGCCCCAGAAGACATCTTCTATATAAGCCATCATACCAAGATTGGGAATCACAGCAGATCTACCAAATACACAGAAACAAATACAGCAAGGCAACTAAAATGGAGGGCAAAGAAACATGGCCCAAATGAAACAACACAATAAATCCCCAGAAAAAGAATAAAATAAAATGAAGGCAACCAAGCTACCAGATGCAGAGTTCAAAACGAAGGTTATAAGGATGTCAAGGAAATTAGAGGAAGAATGGGTGATCACAGTGAGAACTTAAACAGAGTAAGCGTTATCCCTTTTTAAAAGGGATATAGAAACCATAAAAAGTCTGAAGGGTCCCAGGTTCGATTCTGATCAAGAACACATGCCCAGGTTACAGGCTCAATCCCCAGTAGAGGGCATGCAGGAGGCAGCCAATCAATGATTCTCTCTCATCATTAATGTTTCTACCTATCTCTCCCTCTACCATCCACTCTGAAATCAATAAAAATATATATTAAAAAATAAAATAAATTAAAGAACAACAAATTGGTAGTTACAAAATAGTCATAGCATTGTAACTATAGAATAGGGAACATAATCAATAATATTGTAATAACTATTTATGGTGTAAAAAGGGTACTAGATTTATCGGGTGATCACTTTGTAAACTATATAAATGTCTAATCACTATGTTGTACACCTGAATCTAATAAAACATTGTATGTTAACTGTAATTTAAAAATAAGAAAAGTATTAATAAAAAAGAAAGAAAACAGTATGGCAGTTCCTCAAAAAATTAAATATAGAATTACCATATGATCCAGCAATTCCACTTCTATGTGTATGCTCAAAAGAATTGAAAGCAGGGTCTCAAAAGGATATTTGTATACTCATGTTCATAGCATTATTTATAATAGCTAAAATGTGAACACAAAAAGTGTCTACCCACAGATGCACAGATAAGCAAAATGTTTTATGTACATACAATGAAATATTATTTAGCCTTAAAAAGTATGGAGATTCTGACACATGCTACAACATGGGTGAACCTTGACATTATGTGAAGCAAGCCAGATACAAAATAACTACTACTGTATGATTTCACTTATATGCAGTAGTTGGAGTAGTTAAAATTATAGAAACCGAAAATAGAATGGTGGTTTCCAGGGGCTTGGGAAAAGGGAAAATGAGACAGTATTTAATGAGCTCAGTGTTTCAGCTTTTCAAGATAAAAAGAGTTCTTGAGGTGGATGGTGGCAAGGGTTGCCCAACAATGTGAATGTGCTTACCGCCATTGAATTAGACATTTAAAATGATTAAAACAGTAAATTTTGTCATGTGCACTTTACCACAATAAAAAATTCTTAAAAAAAGAAGTGGATATATTAAGACTTTAGAACCTTGGGTCTTATATAGTGAAAAAGAAACCCTAAGGATCTCTTTAAAGACATAAAACTCTCCCTGGCCAGTGTTGCACAGTGGTTGGAGAGTTGACCCAGGCACCAAAGGGTGTTGGGTTCAATTCCCGGTCAAGGGCTCAATCAAGGGTGAGTACTTGGGTTGCAGGTTTAATCCCTGGCCCCAGTCAAAACATCTGCAGGAAGCAACCAATCTCTCTCTCTTCTCTCTCTCTCTCTCTCTCTCTCTCTCTCTCTCGCTCCCGCTCTTCCCCCTCCCTCCCTCCCTTCCACTCTCTCTAAAAAAATTAATGGACAAAATATCCTCAGGTGAGGATTAACAAAAAGAAAAAAAAGACATAAAACTTACATAACCACCATAATATACAAAATATCCTTTGGAACTTTGGGGCTATAAGGGTGGTATATCTTTGTAATGAGTTTCCTATCCCTAGCCTGAGTATTAAAACACAAAAGATGATGACAGTAACAGCTGCCTTGGAAATAGGACTGGTTGGTGAACCTTTAAGGCAGCGGTTCTCAACCTGTGGGTTGCGACCCTTTTGGTGGTCGAACGACCCTTTCACAGGGGTCGCCTAAGACCATCCTGCATATCAGATATTTACATTACGATTCATAACAGTAGCAACATTACAGTTATGAAGTAGCATCGAAAATAATTTTATGGTTGGGTCACAATATAAGGAACTGTATTTAAAGGGCCAGAAGGTTGAGAACCACTGTTCTAGGGTACTTTGTCAAAACCCACCCAACTTTGACATTGCTCTAGAGTGGCCAGTGCCTGGGAGAATTGGGAACCACATGTTAATTCTTCACTCTTCTTTTCACATAGACCATATTCCTTCCCAGGCAGCAGACATCTAAATTTCATTTTAGTTTTATTTGTCAAATATGTCCTACAGTCAGTTCCAATAGTCATTTTCTTAAGTGGAGCAAAGTATAGGGAGAGTTTACTCTGTACATACTACAGAGAAGGTTCTTCGCATTTCGGTGAAATTCAACAATATGCATAATGATATGATTTTAGTCATATTGCTTTTAAAATTATCTATAGCTTACCTACTCTTTTACCTGCTGCTGCATTATTTCCATTCATTCCAATACCACGGGCAGACTACAATTGAAACAGAAAACATCTATGGTGTTAGTTAATGGAGAACAGAATTAAAGATCACCAAGCATGGAATACTTGTACTTTATTACAAAAATGCTGTTGGACTTCATTTAAAATTATCTAACCGAATTTTAATTAAATTAACTTGGAACCTGATTCTCACATTCAGCAATATTGTACTTATTACTTATGTTTAAAAGAGTATAATTTAATGGCTTAAATAACAGTTCTCATTGGGGGAAAAATTAATAAAAATAGCATTTAAAAATACAGTATTTCCCCCCTTATCCATGGTTTTGCTTGCCAGTTTCAGTTACCTAAAGTTAACCAATATTTACTCTGAAAATATTAAATGGGAAATTCCAGAAATAAACAATTCACAAATTTTAAATTGCGGGAGTAGCAGAAATCTCACTCTATCCTGCTGAGGATGTGAATCATGGTTTTGTCCAGAATATCCAAACTCAGCTGATCTCATGTGGGCATTATACCATCTCACATTATCACAAGAAGAAGGAGGGTGAGCCCAACACAATAAAATATTTTGAGAGAAAAATCATGTTCACATAACTTTTATTACAGTATATTGTTATAATTATTCTATTTTATTAGTCATTGTTGTTAATATCTTACTGTGCCTAATTTATAAATTAAAATTTATCACAAATATGTATGTATAGGAAAAACATAGTATATATAGAGTTTGGTATTATCATGGTTTCAGATAGCCTCTACAGGTACTGAAACATATCCCCCACACCCTGGGTGGGGGGGGGGGGAGGGGGACTGCTGCAATAAGTTGTTTACACAAAATTATTTTCAAGTTACAGTTTGCAATTTAGGACTATAAAATTATTTAAAAATCAACTATCAAAAAGATTTTCTACAAAGTAGATAAAGAAACTATTACAAGAAGTCAACCTTAGGCCTCCTTATTTATGTAAACAAAAACTAAACTTTAAATATGTTGAATCATTACAAGGACAACTACTAGAACATACTGAAAAGCAGATACTTACTAGATAAAAATCTGTAGATTCTAACTGGGGAGAGCTTTTCCTAATGCATTCTTCCTGAAAATGCTGGAGGTTTGTAGACAGCCCAATTCCAGAGGTCCGAAGCCTACCTACCCCACGCGAGCTCTGTAACCCGTCTCTGCTTGCGCTCCGGGCCAGCGAAGCAAGAAAACCTATATTATTTACACTACCGACAGGCTCTTTGGAAGCCTTGTTAGCCATTTCTGTGATATCCCGAGCCTCAACTTTAGAAATAATATCAGATCTTTTCCCAGGTGAATCAACTTTAACAGCTCGAAAGCGAGTAGTCCTAGAGAAAGAAGAGTCAGCCATATTTCGAACATCCAATGACCGGAGCACATTTTGTGAAGCAGAAGACTGGAGAGGCCGAGACTCAAAACATTTCGACTGTCTCTGTGGCTTCACCAGAGAATGATGGAGTGACATTGGTGTAGAACAGTGAAGAGGTGACAAGAGTCTGTTCTTGTGAGGACTTAATTCACGGTTGTTGAGAACTGTAGTCTCTACTGATTCAGCACTCAACATTCTTGCAACATGTTTAAGATGCTGCTCTGTAGCTTTCAACCCTTTGTCAGGATTTACCTTCCGTGTGCCTTCTAAGCCACTGCTCTGCTCATCAATATTTCCTTCTGAAAACAAAGGAAATGAACCCACTTCAGGTAGAAGGGATTTTTCAGTTACACACTCTTCAGGAGCTGGAAATAAAACAGTGTCATCCTCATTATTAGGTGACAAATTTCCTGAAAAGTGCTTTGTCCGCCTAGGCAGGGATGGTCCAAGATGGAGCATAGAATCAGCAAACTCTTTGTCATTTTCCAACTCCACAGGGGTTATCTGAGGTGACAGTTTGGTGCTACCACTGGAATGAGGCAGTGTGTTACTCTCCCAGTTAGTATCTTCCTTAAGGAAATCACCAGCTATAGATGATATGGGTCTATCAGCAGCGGGCAGGGCTGTCAAACTTGCAATTGCATTGCTGGATGTTTCAGGCGGACAGGCATTCCCAGGAGACGGTAAACAAGACTGCCCGATGTGGGGGAGAACTCGCAGCAATCTGTGCCGAGTAGCTGCCGTGGAACTGCTGGAAGATCGAGGAGCTACAGGTGGGCGAGGTTTTACCTTGACAGCTTTCTTAGGCTAAAAGAAAAGAGTGAATACATAATTCCTTTACATGAATTCATTACATTATTCATTTATATAACTCATTTTATGTGCCCATTAACAGAAATTAATGAAGGAAGGAAATGTGATTTGCTGTAACACACTGGCATTTTGATTACCTTAATTTAAAATATTAAAATATTAAGCTTATGGTGGAGAAGAATTTTGTTATCTTCATTAACTATAATTTTCTGAGAATAATTTGATTTCTCACGTCTAATTATCAGACTTTGGCTGTAAAGAAACATCATTGATTATATTAGATATGACATTGCTGACCTATTTTAGATCCCAAACAACTCTTACTAGTAAGATGAGTAAGTGGTTGGCAAGGTAGGTATTGCAGAAAAGAGTTAACAGAACCAAACTGCTATCCGTGAAAAGTCCTGCTTGCAATGCTGGTCCTTGGCTGGTTCTGGGAACTTGTATTGAAGAGGGATCCCTCCACCCTGGATGATAAGAGTGGCCCATTGTGCTTAACCAGTTTGTGCAAACAATATGGTTTATGCCAAACACCAGCTTTTCTTCTGGGAGTGTGTAATTTTGGTACATGCTAGGCAGAGGGTATCTACATAAACAGCCTCTAATAAACCACCTGAGCACAGAGTCTCCAATGTGCCTCCCCAGTAGACAACATCCTACATGTGCCAACAAAACTGACTGACAGAGGAATTAAGTGCATCCTATGAGACTCCACCAGGAAAGGATCTGGGAAGCTTATGCCTGGTTTCCCTTTCCCTTTGCTGGTTTTGCTTTATACCCGTTCCCTGTAAAGATCTTAGCCATGAACACAACTATATGCTAGTCTTACGAGTCTTTCTAGCAAACCATTCAACCTGGGAGGTCTCTGAGTCCCTGATACAGTAGGTTCTAGATTTTAATAAAAGTATCACAACAATTCACAATGTTACGGATAAAGTTGAAAATTAAAGATGATATGAGTATCCGGGTGGAATGGAATACCTGATGACATACCAATACTTCCATCCTAGAAATATAACAAAAGCTAGATAATTCAGTGGATACCATTTGAGGCAAGAAGTAAGGAGCTAAAAATCCCAAGAAAAAAGAATGTTGGAAAGATATGCTGGCTCCTATAGCTGCTTTTATCCTAGGAATATTGTCTTGCAAATTTGCAATTCTATACTCAGCACAAATATTCTTCAAAAATAAAGGTGGCCTGGCTGGTGTGGCTCAGTTGATTGGAACGTGGTACCATACACCAAAAGGCTGTGGGGCTGTGGGTTCGACTCCCGGTCAGGAGGGCACATACTTAGGTTGCACATGGGAAAGGCAACAGATTGATGTTTCTCTCTCTCTCTCTCCCTCTCTCCTTCTCTCCCTCTCTCTCTCTCGTTGCCTCTTCTCCTCTCTCTAAAATCAATAACTTGTCCTTGGTGAGAAATGAATGAATGAATGAATAAATAAATAAATAAATACAGGTGTTGACTTCAGGGCTGTAGAGATTAACGGTGCTTGCCTAAATCTGAATTTCTCCATGAATTTTCCAAAAAACCATACAGATCAACAACATAAGCAAATAAAATCACCCATAAACCATACCTTCATCAAAACTAAAAGACAGACAAACTTAACTTAAAATTACCTGTAAGTAGGAAAATACTCAAATCCAGGAAACTCATCTGCAAAGCCTATGCCTATGGTGAGAGCGTGGAACAAGTCAGAAAGGAAGAAAGAAAGGAGGGAAGGAGGGAAGGAGGGGAGAGAGGGAGGAGGAAGGAGGGGGGAGGAAACGAAGAAGAGAAAAACAGATGTGGATAAACTAGGGCTAATGGAACAAGTATAAAATAAACCCAAAAAGAGAAAATCCCACTTCATTATGAAAAATGCTGAAAGCAGCAGGTCCAATATCCTAGGAAATAGAAAAAAAGTGACTTAAAACTGTTCGAGACCTGAGGTGACAGCTTCCAGAAGGCACCACTTCTCTAGCAAGAAGCGGGGAGCTGGAAGGAAAAGGCACCCATTTAGAACTTGACAATGAAGGTGAAGAGGCAGCAAGAAAGTGAAAGAATCCTATCACACAAAAGGGAACCACAAAATCGTAAACACACCAACCCCACCTTTCAATAAACTGCCATTGATTTAAACAACTGCATTTCACTATACAGAGAGAAGAGGGGGACTGACATAAGTAATTTACTTTGCCACACAAAATCCTCACTTTTGGCCCTAGCTGGGCAGCTCAGTTGGTTGGAGCATGATCTGGTCCACCAGAAGGTTGCGGGTTCGATTCCCAGTCAGGGCATAGACCTGAAATGCGGGTTTGATCCCTCCTCAGGGCATGTCGAGAGGAAACCAGGCCGTGTTTCTCACATTGAAGTTTCTCTCTCTCTCTCTCTAAAATCAATAAACGGGAGAACCAAGATGGCAGCGTAGGTAAACGCCCATACTCGCCGCCTCCCACAGCCACATCAAAATTACAACTAAAATACTGAACAACCACCATTCAGAACAGCCTGAAAGCTGGCTGAATGGAAGTCCTACAACTCGAGAAGTGAAGAAGGCACATTGAGACAGGCAGGAGGGGCAGAGGAGTGGAACGGGCTGGTCTGGAGGGAGATCGCTGCGGAGGCAGCCCTGAGGAGCAAGGGGTCTCAGCCCCACACTAGATGCCCAACTCAGGGTTCCAGAGCTGGGAAGAGAAGTCCCCATAACTTTGAGCTGTAAAAACCAGTGGGGATTGTGGCTGCATGAAGTGGAGGCTGCTGGAGACCCAGGTGTTTCTCTTAAAGGGCCGGCGCACAAACTTACTTGGACTCCATCCCTCTGAGCTCCAGCACAAGGCAGCTTTGGGGTTCCGGGACACACACGGGGAGGAAATGGATTGTCTGGCATCGGGGCAGGAACTCCGGGACAGCTTTCTCCCAGATGGTGGTGCTCACAGGGGTCACTGTTCCTGTGCTGGGACCCCTCCTGTCACAGGGCTGACCAGCAGCCATATATGAGTCTTCATCAGTCAGGCTCACACTTTGGCTCCACCCTGGTGATTCCCGGAGACCCTGCCCCATCCAATTTGCAGCTTTTCCATCTGAATGGCCTGTCCTGGCTCAGGCTTCACTTTGCTGAAACAAGCTGCAGCTGGGTCAGCATGCTCCAAACCCATCAATAAAAGGCCCAAGACCCAGCACTAGCACCAGCCTGCCTTGCTTCACAGCTGGGTCCTGCCTGGGCACTTCCAAACCCAATACAAATAGCAAGCATCTGCAAATCTCTCTGCAGCACCTGTGGGGTGGCCTCAGCCAGTGGCTGACTTTGGACCTCCCTGGAGGCCCTAGAGCAGTGATGGCGAACCTATGACACGCGTGTCAGAGGTGACACGTGAACTCATTTTTTTGGTTGATTTTTCTTTGTTAAATGGCATTTAAATATATAAAATAAATATCAAAAATATAAGTCTTTGTTTTACTATGGTTGCAAATATCAAAAGATTTCTATATGTGACACGGCACCAGAGTTAAGTTAGGGTTTTTCAAAATGCTGACACGCCGAGCTCAAAAGGTTCGCCATCACTGCCCTAGAGCCAGTGCACCTGGTGAACAGCTTCAGACCATAACAGATTACAACTTTACACATCCATGAGTGACACACTCAAGGGGCAGACTCAGTGAGCAACCACTAACAGAACTGAAGGAAGAAACTGACAAAAACACAATGACAGGAGGGCACCCAAATATCCCATTGACAGTTATGGATATAGCATCCAAACAAAAATCAGTAAGGAAATATTGGCCTTAAATGACACTTTGGACCAAATGAATATAATTGACATATACAGAGCCTTTCATCCCAGCACACCAGATTATACATTCTTCTCCAGTACAAATGGAACCATCTCAAGGATGTACAGTATTCTGCAACACAAAAAATAGCCTCATCAAATTTAAAAAGATGGAAATCGTACCAAGCATGTTCTCTAATCACAATGCTTTGAAATTAGAAATCAACTGGGATAAAAGTGGAAAAACCCACAAATATGTGAAGATTAAACAACATGCTACTAAAGAATGACTGGGTCAAAGAAAGAATAGAAGGAGAGATCAGCCCTGGCCAATGTGGTCCAGTGGTTAGAGTGTCAGTCCTGAAACCTAAGGGTCACGAGTTCAATTCCTGGTCAAAGGCACATATGTGGGTTACAAGTTCAATCCCCACCCTAGTCAGGATACATGCGGGTGGCAACTAATCGATGTCTCTCTCTCTCACATCGATATTTCTCTCTTTCTCTCCCATCCCCTGCTCCCTCCCTTCACTCTCTAAAAATCAATAGAAAAAAGTATCTTCTGGTGAGGATTAACAAAACAAAAAACAAAAAAAAGGTGAGATCAAATGATACATACACAACTGAGAATGACAACATAAGTTTTGGGATGCAGCAAAAGTGGTAGTAGGAGGGAAGTTTATATCATTGCAGGCCTATCTTTAAAAAGCAAGAAAAATTCCAAATAAACAACCTAACATTAGATCTTAAAAAACTAGAAAAAGAAGAACAAAAAGCAACCCAAAACCAGTAGAAGAAAGGAAATAATAAGAGCAGAATTCAATAGAGACCAAAAAGACAATATAAAATATTAATGTAAGTAGTAACTGGTTCAATGAAAAGATTAATAAAATTGACAAATTCCTGGCTAGACTCACTAAGGAAAAAAGAGAAAATACTCAAATAAACAAAATCAGAAATATAAAATAAGTTATGGACTCCACAGATATACAAAGGATCATACAGAATACTATAAAAGATTATATGCCAGCAAATTCAATAATCTGCCAGTACAGCGGTGGTGGTGGGAGCTTCTCCTGCCTCCTCAGCAGCGCTAAGGATGTCCGACTGCAGCTTAGGTCTGCTCCCTGCTGGCAAGTGGACATCCCCTGAGGGCTCCCGGGCTGCCAGAGGGATGTCTGATTGCCAGCTTAGGGCCAATCCCCCGGCGAGCAGGCCTAAGCCAGCAGGTGGTCATCCCCCGAGGGGTCCCAGACTGCGAGAGGGCACAGGCCGGGCTGAGGGACCCCCCCCCCCGAGTGCACAAATTTTTGTGCACCGGGCCTCTAGTTCTAAAATATTAGACTTTCCAGGTATCTTTCTGTTATTGACTCCTAGTTTTATTTCGTTGTAGTAAGAGAGGATTTTGCTAAGTAAAATAAGCAAGTCAGAGAAAGACAAATACCATATGATCTCACTTATATGTGGAATCTAATGAACAAAATAAACTGATGAGCAAAATAGAAACAGAGGCATGGATACATGGAACAGACTGACAGCTGTCACAGGGAGGTGGGGGGAGACTAGATGAAAGAAGGTGAAGGAATTAGCTAAAGAACTCATAGACCCAGAAAATGGTGTGGTGATGGCCAGAGGGAAGGTGTGGCAGCTGGGTGGAGGTGGGCAAAAGAAAATGAGGGACATCTGTAATAGTGTCAACAATAAATATAAAGTTAAAAAGGAAGCATTTTTATGTAATTTGAATCTTTTCAAAATATTGGGACTTATTTGCTAGCATGTATACAGTTTATCTTAGTAAATGTTCTGAGTGCACTTTTTAAAAATATATTCTGCTGTCATTAGGTGGAGTATTCTATAAATGTCAGTTAGGACAAGGAGGTATTGTCAAGCCTTTTTGTGTCCTTTCTGATTGTTTATCTTTTCTATCCATTTTCTGAGAGTGGAAATGTAGAAATCTTCTATAATAATAAAAGCATAATATGCTAATTAGACAGGACAGCTGAACGACCTTCCAGACATCCTTCTGGACAACCTTCCAGATGAAGCCAGGGCTGTGAGGGCCGAGGCAGCCACCAGTCTGCAAGGGCCAAGCCCCTTGCACGAATTTCATGCATTGGGCCTCTAGTATTCTAATATAACTATAAATTTGTCTATTTATCTTTGTAGCTTTTGCTTCATATATTCTGAAGTTTAATTGTTAGGTGCATAAACATTTAGGATTGTGGGAAATTTTTCTTCACCCTCCCTCATATTATATTTTAAAAAAGGTTTTGTTTCAAATGGATTGTAAATCTAAGTGAGAAAGGAACAATCATAGAGCTTTCGAAGAAAAACACAAGGCATGTCTTCAAGACCTTGTGGAAGGTAAAGACTTTATTAAAGGCTATAAAAATTGATAATCATAAAGGAAAACTGGTAAGTTAGCATACATTAAAATAAAGAATACCTACTAAAAGAATGAGAAAGTAAAAGAGCAAACTGTGTATAAATCACACTTCTGACAAAAAACTTACATTCATAGTATCAAAATGCCTATAAAAAACAATAAACAAAGGTAGACGACCCAATTTAGAAAATGAGCAAAAGACTTTAACAGGTCAAGATTTTTTAAAAAATATGATGCATATATAAAATGATATAAAAACAGTTGGTACAAAAGTCAGTATCTTAATGGCCAATAAGCATATGAAAAACTTAACATTATTCCTCATCAGAGAAATATAAATGAAAATCACTACACACCCACCAGAATGGTTAAAATGATAAAGACTGACAATACCAAGTGTTAAGGATGTGGTACAAACTAGAACTCTAGTGTTGCTGATGGGAGTGTCAATTGATTCAGACACTTGACAAAACGGTTTGGCACAGAAACTAAAGTTACATATATACCTACCCCATGACTATAAGACAATTCCTAGGTACATGCCCCAAAGAAGAGTGTGTATGTCCACCAAAGACATGTATAAAAATGTTCAAAGCAGCTTTATTGTTGAAAAGCCAAAAACTAGAAACAACCCAAATGTCTGTCAAAAGAAGAAACAATCATAAGTATAGTCACACAGTGGAATAGTACACAGCAGTAAAAAAGAATGAACTGATGCATACAACAACATGATGAGTTGTAAGACTATTATGGGTTGAGCAAAAGAAACCAGGCCAAAAAAAGGAGAAAGGGAACATATTATTTCACTTATACAAAGTTCAAAAATAGGTAGAACTAATTTATGGTGACAAATATAAGAACAGTAGTTATTTCTGGAAATGGAAAAGGTAGGTATTGACTAGGAAAGGTTATAAGGAAAACTGGAGAGGAAGGTCCATTTTAATTTTAGTTGTTCCTACATGAGTTTACATTAATGTAAAAATTCATCAAGCTGTACATTAAAGATTTGTGAATTTTATTATATGTACATATAGTTCAATAAAGAAAATGGGACACGCTATTAATCGAGTGAAAAGCAAAGTAACTGAGATGTGTTATGTGTGTGTGTATATATATGTATATATATGTACATATACATACATATGTATGCATATGTGTATATACATATATACGTGTATTATATTTGAGACAAAGATTTATATCTAGACTATATAAAGATCTCAAAAAAAATTTTCAATAAGCAGCCCTAGCTAATTTGGCTCAGTAGACAGAGCATCGGCCCTTGGACTGAAGGGTCCTGTGTTCGATTCCAGTTAAGGGCATGTACCTCGGTTGCAGGCTCAATCCCCGGCCCTGGTTGGGGCATGTGTGGGAAGCAACCAATTGATGTGTCTCTCTCACATCAATGTTTCTCTGCCTCTGTCTCTCCCCCTCCATTCCACTCTCTCTAAAAAAATAAAAAATAAAAATAAAAAAATAAAATAAAATAAAAACCAATGGGAAAATATCCTTGGGTGAGGATTAACAACAAAAAAATCAATAAGCAAAAAACATACAACTCAATAGAAAAACGGGTAATATTTGAAAAGGCAGTTTGCAAAAAAGGATATCGAAATACTCAATAAACATCTGAAGGGAGCTCAACCTCATTAGTAAAAGTAATGTCAATTAAAACTGTGATGTGATGGCTCTACACATCAACCAGAATGACAAAAATAGAAGATGACCTACCAAACACTAGTAAGAATGCATGAAAACTGCAAGTCTTACTCACTATGGGACAAAATGTAAATTGGTTCAATTACTTTGGAATCACATTGGGAAACTGACAATATCTACTGAAGCTGAACATAGGCATATTCTTTGTCAACACCCAGACAAAGATATCCATAATAAGAAAATATAAATGCAGCATTAAAAATAATTGTAAGATTAAGATTAGGCTATTATTATCCTCAGCTTTAGACCTATGACAATTTTAAAATCATTAATTACTTTAAGTGCAATATAATCACATTAAATTTGTTGCGAGTCTATACAAAACAATTCATCACTTTTAACATCTCAATAAATTACTGAGGCCAAAAACTTGAGATGAATAATATTTTATAAATATAAATAATTTTTCACAATTCCTAGCAGACATCAATACGTGAGCCCTGCAGGGATAAACTAGAGCAGCCGTGGGCAAACTACAGCCCTCGGGCCGAATCCGGCCCATTTGAAATGAATAAAACTAAAAAAAAAAAGACCGTACCCTTTTATGTAATGATGTTTACTTTGAATTTATATTAGTTCACACAAACACTCCATCCATGCTTTTGTTCCGGCCCTCCAGTCCAGTTTAAGAACCCATTGTGGCCCTCGAGTCAAAAAGTTTGCCCACCCCTGAACTAGAGAAAGGCCTGGCCAAGTGCCCACAGCTTCACCTTTTTGCTGAGATTCATGTTCTCCATCTTAGCCTTCAGCAGCTTCATCTTATTCATAGTGATTGAATTTTCAATTATCTGTTGCCCAGAAGGAGAAGGCTCAATCTCTTCATCCTCATCAGTGTACAAATTATACACTGACCCACCACTGCAAAGACAATGATAATTACTATTGTTATGTGCCTGACACATGCCCAATGACTAAAAATACTCTGTGTGCAATAGAAACTATAGATGCTGCTAATGACAAAGCAATAAATCCATCTTGTCAATGTAAATTTAAGACAAATGTATTTTTAAAAATATAGTTTAGGAGAAAAAAGTTAATGGGGCTAAGTATCACAATCTAGCATTACTGAAAATTCTAGTACAGCTGAGCTTTTCTGAAGTCAAGAGAGCATAAGTGAAGTTCCTTTTGGCTATACCTTTCCCACAGGAGCAAATTCCACAAGAATGATCTGATTCATTTTATTAGCCAAGGCTGGTAATGTGCAACCCAGACCACAAGCTGATCAAATTTCCATTAACCAGAATGAAAAAGAAATTGACACAGAGAAGTCTTGATTTTTATTCACCCTCAGAGGATTCTCACTTAAAAGTTTAAAAAAAAAAAAAAGGAACTCACACATAGGTGTCATCTGAACAGTTTCCCTTCTTAAAGAACAACAACAGCCCTAACTGGTTTGGCTCAGTGGATAGAGCGTTGGCCTGCGGACCAAGAGGTCCCAGGTTGTGGGCACATCCCCAGTGGGGAGTGTGCAGGAGGCAGCTGATTGATGTTTCTCTCTCATCAATGTTTCTAACTCTCTATCCCTCTCCCTCCCTTTCTGTGAAAAAAAAAATCAATAAAATATATATTTAAAAAAAAGAACAACAACAAAAAATGCAGATAACTTAAGATTTTTCTTAGCGTGTTTAGAACAGCATACATTTTAAATGAAAAAGACACCCCAGGCAAGTCATGACACAAATTATTAACCATGTAAAACATTTCAAATATTGATTAATCATCATGACATTTGTTCAAATCTTAACATGATTATTATTTGGGATCCCTTTTCTTTGACTACATAACGCAATGGCATTTATCACACCATCTTCATATTTATATTTACGTATCTATCCCTCTTTCTCCACCGTATGTATAAGTTGAAAGCAGTTGCTAGGCTTTTTCATCTTCCTAGTCTTAGCACCTGGCACAATGCTTGGCACATATGCAAAAAATGTTTGTTGAACTGAACACAAACATTATTGAAATTCAGATTTTTCTTCTTTAAATTTTTTTAAATCCTCATTCGAGGATATGTTCTTATTAATTTGAGAGAGAGCAGGAGGGATGGAGGGAGGGAGGGGGAAGAGAGAGAGAGAGAGAGAGAGAGAGAGAGAGAGAGAGAGAAACATTGATCGATTGCCTCTTGTACACTCCCGACTTTCAAGGTGTACGTATGCTTTGGTTTCACGGGGAGTTGAGAAGGAGGGTGGGGACGGGCCTCCCCGCTGTGGTTTTGGGTGGGGCCGGCAGAGGAGCTGGCCCTGGTGCTTCCTGCTCTGGGAGGGGCCACCTTGGAGATGGGCCCCTCTTGCCCCACTTCAGCTGTTTCCTTTCTCTGTTTGGCAAACTCCTACTCCTCTTTTACAGTTGCTTCTTTTCAGAGGTTGTCCCTAACTCCCCTCCTTTCAAGCAAAATAATTGAACTTGAAGCACTGCTCTGTGGTATTTTAGCTTCAACTTACCCATACTGGATATTGAAAGAGGTTTGTGACTCAACCTTACTAAAAATATTTTAAAAATTAAAAAAGCTAACTAACTGGTCCTTTACTGTTTTCCTGTGTGTGTATGTAAAAAAGTACAATTATGATAAAATATTTCACTAGATACGTTTTAGAGGATTACTAGTAAAAACACGTTTAAATTCACCCAATATTTTTAAAATAATCACACAACTGTGTGTGTGTTTTCCCCTCACAAAGCCTAGATTCATGAGATCAGTTAGAAGTCAATCATAATTTTTTTCTAGTTGGAAAAATATAACTACACTAGGATAACATAGTGATTTATAAATTTAATCTAAAATATCCTTCTTTATATTTAAATATTCTAAGTATTTTCTTGAATTTCTAAATATTTTCTTTTTTACCAGTAGAAAATCAAGTTTTAATACATGCACATAGGGCATTCACTTAGGAATACAAATTCCCTTAATATTTTCTTGAATGCTTATATTTAACCTTTTCTATATCTTTTTGTTGTTAATCCTCAACTGAGGTTATTTTTTCATTGATTTTTTAGTGAGAGTGGAAGAGAGAGGGTAAGACAGAGAGAAACATTGATGTGAGAGAAACACATTGATTGGTTGCCTCTTGTACGAGCCCTGACCAGGGCCCAGGCCAAGGAGGAACCTGCAACCAAGGTATGTGCCCTTGACCGGAATCGAACCCTGGACCTTTCAGTCCACTGGCCAATGCTCTATCCACTGAGCCAAATGAGGCTAACTTTATATCTTTTAATCTAATACTATGATTAAAGAATAAGAGATGAGCAAATGTAATATTTATTTCAAGATGAATATTGTTCATCAAGAATCCAAGTCCTCATATGACTTTCACAGAAAAGTTACCTATTAATTAGGTCTTGCAATGCCTCCCTCTATTTCATCACACTTAGAAAAGCAGGAAGGTGACATGATTAACTAAAAAGATTTGACACTAAAAACGATACTAGATTTTGTACTGCAATGAATCAAATAAGCACCCAATTCTCTGTTTCTTCTTAGAGCAGGAGTCAGCAATCTATAGCCACAGGCCAAATTCAGTCCACCACTTATTTTGCATGCCCCGTGAGCCAAGAGTGGTTTTTACAATTTTAAAGAGTTGAAAAACACTCAAAATAATATTTTATAACATGCAAAAATTGTATGAAATTCTAATTTGTGTCCATAAATGAAGTTTTATTAGAACATAGCCATATCACTTGATCACATACTACATGTGGCTGATTTTGCACTACAGTGGCAGAGTTGAAAAACCACAACAGAATTGTATGGGGCTGTCTTTGCTTTGCACTGTGGCTTGGCACACTGCAGATCACAGTGGCATAGTCATAATTCAACAGCATTTTGAGTGCCATTTGTATCACTGTACAGTGACTTTTTTAATTACCAGTACATATCCAACATGTCAAAACAAGAAAAGTAGACTTCGAATGCTGCAGTTTTAAGGCACAGTAGAGAGTGAATTATTTTGCTATCAATTAAATGGCAAAGCATTTTGTTTATTATGTAATAACACTGTAGCTATGCTAGAGAAAAACAACATATTTGGACATTACCAGACTAAGGTCTCATTGCAGGAAAGCAATGGTCAGAAAATTTTAAAAATATGAAATGGAACATCTCATCATAGTAAAACTGCCTCAAAAAAAAATAAAAGATGGCCCTGGCCAGATTGCTCAGTTGGCTGGGGCATCATCCTGTACTCCAAAAGGTTGTGGTTTGATTCCCAGGGCATTTACCTAGGCTGTGGGTTCGATCCCAGATCGGGGTATGCACGGGAGGCAACCAATTGATATTTCTCTCATCTCTCTCTCTCTCTCTCTCTTTCTGTCTGTCTATCTTTGTCTCTGTCTCTCTGCTCCTCCCTTCCGCTTTCTAAACATATCCTTGAGTGAGGATTAAAAATAAACAAGCAAACAAGTAATTAAATAAATAAATAAATAAATAATGAGACTATAACCAAAAAAAGTTTCTAAGTGGTTTATTTACTAGGAAAGCAAGAAAATCTGTTTCCCAATACAGAATTAACTAAACCACGTCCAGAAAAAAATAAACTTGTTTAAAGACTACTCGGCAAGAGCAATTTCTCAAAGAGTTGACATCATTGGAAGTAACATCAATAGTTTATTTAAAAACTAGAGGCCCTGGTGCACGAAATTTATGCACTCGGGGTGGGGGGGGGGGTCACTCAGCCTGGATTGCAAGAGGGCGCAGGCCAGGCCGTAGGACCCCACCAGTGCATGATCAGTGCTGGGGAGGGATGCGGGAGGTTGGCCAGCTGGGGAGGGACTGCGGGAGGGCTCCAGGCCGTGTCTGGCCCATCTTGCTCAGTCCTGATTGGCTGGAACCCAGCAGCAAGCTAATTTATCGGTCAGAGTGTCTGCCCCCTGGTGATTAGTGCACATCATAGTGACTGGTCAACCAGTCAACTGTCTGCCCCCTGGTGGTCAGTGCATGTCATAGCGAGCAGCTGAGTGACCTTAGCATATTAGCATATTACGCTTTGATTGGTTGGCCAACTGGATGACTGGATACTTAGCATATTAGGCTTTTATTATATGGATACCACAAGTTGCCCTACCTGGTTTGCCTCAGTGGATAGAGCATTGGTCCGCGAACTAAAAGGTCCCAATTTAATTCTGGTCAAGGGCACATACCTCATACCTCAGTTGCAGGCTTGATCCCCATCTGATCAGGGCACATGCGAGAGTCAACCAATCGATGTCTCTCTCTCACATCGATGTTTCTCTCTCTGTGTCTCTCCCCCTCAATTCCACTCTCTCTAAAAAAAAAAAAAATCAATGGGAAAATATCCTTGGGTGAGGATTAACAAAAACAAAAAAATACTGCATGTTATTTGGAGTTGTTTTGCTTGGCTTTTGATGAGTCAACATAAGTTATTGAAACTGTTCAGCTGTTTTTATTTATTCTGGGCATCAATACCAAGTTTGAAGTAAGTGAAAAAACTAGCCTCTTTGAAAAGGCTGCATAAAACAACTAGAGTTAAGAATATTTTCAAAGAAGTTGCTAAAACACTAATTCAGTACAACTGAATCCGCTACAATTAATGGAGTAAAAATATGTGTAGAACAAAAAAAGAGCTTAGCAAATTTACAAAGGTAATGAAAATGTAAGGTGTTTAACACCTAAGGTTACTCATTGTATTATTCATAAGCAGGTCTTCTAGAGCTAATATTTGAATCTATCATGTGTTATTGAACCAGTAATTCAATAGTAAACTTCATTTGTCTCCTGGATTTAGCCGTCAGTTCAATGGCTTGACAGTAATTTTATTGTGATTTTTTGTACCTCAGGGATGATAATGAATTTTTCTGAATGAAAAGAACTGCCTTCAACTGCTAATATAAACACTAAGTGCCTTTGGAAATTAGCTTTGCTGTGAACTTGATAATGTTTCTTAGTGAATTACACCTAATATTACAAGGCAAAACAGTACTTACATGAGAAACTGATACTGTAAGTAATGTCATTTTGACAACTAGCTTTACTGTGATCACATATATAAAGTCATGCCTTCAAAAGTTAAAAACTTAAGCGAGCCCTGCTTGGAATAGTTCAGTTGGTTGAGCATCGTCCCATGTACTGAAAGGTCACCAGTTTGATTCCCGGTCAGGGAACATGCCCAGGTTGTTCGTTCAGCCCCAGTCAGGGTGTGTAGGGGATGCATCCGATCCATGTTTCTCACATCGATGTTTCTCTCTCTCATTCTCTCCCTCCTCTTCTCTCTTACTCTCTCTCTCCCTCTCCCTTCCTCTCTAAAATCAATAAAAGTATATATTATATTAAAAAAGAAAGAATCAACAGTCAACACTCATTTGTTACAGTCTGTTCTCTGTGGCCACAAAGAAGGAGTCTAATCTTCCTTCCCCACAGCACTCTGTGGTGGCCAGAATCTTAAAGGAATCCCCATGATTCCCGATCCCTGATGCTCACACCCATATACTCTCCTACCCTTCCTTGAGCATGGGCATGACCTATGATTTACATCTAGCCAACAGATTAGATGAAAAATAAAAGGATTTTGCAGATGTAAGTTAGGTCCTAAATCAGTTGACTATGAGTTCATCAAAAGGGAGCTGTGGGCAGCCTCTAGCCAATAGCCAGCAAAAAAATACCAGGCCTTCAGTCATAGAGCCACCAGGAAATGAATTATGACAACATTGTGACTGAGCTTGAAAGCAGATTATGTTCCCCAGCCAAGCCTCCAGAGAAGAGTGCACCTTTACCAAAACCATGATTGCAGCTTGTGGAACCCTGAGCAGAGCTCCCAGCTAAACTGTGCCAGGACTCCAGACCCTCCGACACTGTTCTCCAGGCTACAGTTATCTTTTCCATGAATGGTTTGCCATTAGCTTTTTATGCTGTGGATTAAATTTAGTTACCTGTAATACTGTTCCTTTCTCTGTTTGGCAAACTCCTACTCCTCTTTTACAGTTGCTTCTTTTCAGAGGTTGTCCCTAACTCCCCTCCTTTCAAGCAAAATGAAGCCCCTCTCATCTGGTTTTCCAGAGATGCTGCTATCCTTCTTAACAACTGCCAACAGTGTATGACAGGTATATTTATAGCAGATTGCATGTTCCATGAGGGAGGAGTAATCATCTTTGTAACCTAGTGCCTAGTGTAGAAACACGCTAAAAAAGTTCAGTAAATGTTTAGTGACTTAAGTGAAAGGCAGTAAAGAATCATAATAAGACAGTGCACAAAAACCTATAGGTTACCTAGTCGGACTTCTAAATGTTGTTTTGCCTAGCTAAGTACCTTTAGGTTGTATCTTTCTAATTTTATAAGTAATATAACTTTCCCCCCTTTATTAAAGTAGAAAAACAAGACTGGAGAAGTAAGATTTATACACCCTTTTAAAAAAATATATTTTATTGATTTTTTTACAGAGAGGAAGGGAGAGGGACAGAGAGTCAGAAACATCAATGAGAGAGAAACATTGATCAGCTGCCTCCTGCACACCTCCCAGTGGGGATGTGCCCGCAACCAAGGTACATGCCCTTGACCGGAATCGAACCTGGGACCCTTCAGTCTGCAGGCCGACGCTTTATCCACTGAGCCAAACCGGTTAGGGCAAGATTTATACACCTTTAAGCAGCAGAGTTAAATTTTGAAAAAAGCTAGTAATTTTAGATTCAATCCTTTCTATTATAACAACACTATTATAACAAGACTCTAATCTAGTAGGCATCTTAGTTTCATAATGTTATAGAAATAAATATTTTGTATGAAAAATCTTATTCCATAAAGAAATTTCAGCCCTGGCTGGTATGGCTCAGTTGGTTGAGCATCATCCAATGCTGGTTCAATTCCCAGTCAGCACACATACCCAGGTTGAAGGTTTGATCTCAGGTTGGGGCATATATGGGAGGCAGCCAATCAATGTCTCTCTTACACTGATGTTTCTCTCTCCTCTCCTCTCCTCTCCTCTCCTCTCCTCTCCTCTCCTCTCCTCTCCTCTCCTCTCCTCTCCCTTCATCTCTCTAAAATCAATAAAAACATATTTTTTAAAAAATAAATTTCAGTTTTAAAAATTACTCTCTAAGTATTAATCATATAAAGGGCAATTTCAGAATCACATACCTGGGGCCACAGGAATAGAGAAGAATGCAGGAAATTTAGTCAGTCTTGTGAATATAATAAGATTATTTTGACAAAACAAGGTAAACATAAAGGTTTAAGGAGTATATTGTATGATGTTATCCTTTCCTAAGTGAGACATGCAAATGAAAACCTATTTATTTACCTTAAAGATTCAGATAATGGTGTTAAAGTGCCATCTCCCCTATCTACTACACGAAAGAAATTCAATTGCTCTCCTTCTCGGTATACCAAAAATGTAACTTGTTTGTTGTAGGAGGTCTTCTCCCAGACCTCGTCTTGACTGGAATCCATGTACTCAGCCATCTCCCTAAGTGGGTCTTCCATAGGAACTACAAATGGAAAAATTGATAAACAAGCTTTCAATTTATATCAAGTTTTATGCATCTTGGTACAGTGACAGGACATAATATTATGAATTTGAACAACCCTGTGCAATATATATATATATATATAATTCCTCAAAAAGTTTCTGGTCTTTTATAGTTAATACAGCACTCCCTATGTTGTATTAATATAAAATAAATGAAATGCATTATTGTGTTGTTAGGTACAAAGATACACAAGGTTTTTCCTATACCACTAGTCTGTATAGTTGCTGACTCTACGACATAATTATCTATGATTGCTTTCACTTGACACCTCTGCTTCCTATATTTTCCAATATTGGTTCCATCAACCAACAATTAAAAGCAATATAAATCCCACTTACTTTATATTAAAAAATAAACACACACATAATTAGGAGACATATTAGAAGTGAGAAGCAGCTGAATCCTTCTTCTTTCTGGTTTTATACAGAGGCTGAGTCCTCTTAGAGCTGTTTCTTGATGTGCAGTCAGGTAATTAAAAGTACACAGTAGGCCCTGACCGGTTTGGCTCAGTGGATAGAGCGTCAGCCTGCGGACTGAAGGGTCCCAGGTTCGATTCCGGTCAAGGGCATGTACCTTGGTTGCGGGCACATCCCCAGTAGGGGGTGTGCAGGAGGCAGCTGATCGATGTTTCTAACTCTCTATCCTTCTCCCTTCCTCTCTGTAAAAAATCAATAAAATATATATTTTTAAAAGTACCCAGTAATTCAGAAACAAGGGGGCCACTTAAGTACTGAAACTGCAGTGTGTATAATGGTCAGAATGTTGTTTATTAAAAGCATCTTCCCAGGAGCCGAGTTGTTCTTGAATAGAATACATCCATGTGCGCAGGCAGAGCACAGGACTGGGGCAAAGCCCTCACTGCTGACGGGCTCTAGAAGACAAAGATGTCCTCGGGTTTGAATGATATTACAACCTGCTCTTGTCCACAGCAGCCACAGATTCTGCTCCTGTGGTGAGAATTGGCCTGAAGAGATTGCTGGCTCATAGGGTGAGTGTTCTAAAAGCCCCTGAACTTCACACTTGGGTGTCTAAGTAATGGTTACAGGAAATAAAATAGTTCCTAAAGACATGCTCATGACAAGTTGAAGAAACATTTGCTCTTTCCTAAAAGAAGCAATAATTTCTCAAACTCCATAACTCTCATTCAAGTAGCTTACTTATTACCAGAATCACAGTGCTGCACTATTCTTTTAAAAAATTGTAAGAAAAGTTGAACTCTGAAAGTAACAAGGTAAAAACATTAAAGATGTTCTCATATCCTAAATTCAATACCACCACTACTAAAACACAAAAACTTTAGAAATATAATAGGATTTAGTTTATTTTATAAAAATGTTTGGGGCCTGGCCAGTGTGGCTCAGTAGTTGAGCATTGACCTATGAACCAGGAGGTCACAATTCGGTTCCCAGTCAGAACATATGCCCTGGTTGTAGGCTCAACTCCCAGTGTGGGCTGTGCAGGAGGCAGCTGATCAATGATTCTCTCTCATCATTGATGTTTCTATCTCTTAATCCCTCTCCCTTCCTATCTGAAATCAATAAAAATAGTTTTTAAATGTTCAGATGTTTTGATTGACTCTTTCATAGACACAAAATGCATAAATATTAAGAGACATTTTTAAAACAAGTTCTTGCCAGTTTTAAGTTAATGATATATTTTCCACATTATGTTCATGAGAAATAAAAACCTATGCTATTGTCATTACTAATGCCACATGAAAGCCTTACTTAAATCAACATAGTGTGCCTTTCTTAGGGAGGCACTGGGATTTAATATGCTTATACACATATGTATATATATGTCCACACATTTTCATAACAGAAAAATCACTTAGATTATATCAGGTATAAAACATTGTATATATAGTTTAAGATAAAATTTAGTTTTAGGAAAGAAAGTATTTTCTATGTTGTTTTAATAATGGTTCATTAAAAAAATTTTTTAAGCTAAATATTACTTACTGGAACTCAGATGATAAAGGTACTTTCTAAACCATAAGTTTTAAATAAGACTAAATAGCTAAAAAAAAAAAAACCATGGTTTCTCAAATACCATATGGAGAAGTTTTATATCTGGGTTCACAAAGATTTTAATGATGTAAGGTAGACAACATCAAGCTTTTAATTTTAAAAACGTTGATTCGATAAAGGCAAAATTATTAAAAACTTAATTTAAAATATTAAAAAACAGATAATTTCTAAGTGCTGATTTTTCAATTTACAAATAAGGCACAAAATGTTGTAGGGGAAGAAGGTATTACAAAGCTTCAACTACCAAAGGGTAGTGATGCATTTCATTTTAAATTTTTTAAGTTTTAAAAATACATATATTTCTAACTCAGAATCTGTAGCACTTACACTCCTCCTCAAAAACATAAAATAATTTTAATTCTAGTAAGAAAAATAGGTGCTCTGATTAAAACCCTGGTTTAAAGAAAATAGTATACACAAATAACCAACTTTCAAAAATATAATACAATGGAGTTCACATGTCATTAAACACTATAATTCTATCTTACAATAATGACCCAGGAAACGCTTTAGGGTCTTGCACTACCCTCAGAATCGGTACTACAGACATCAACTTATGTCACATATGAGAATTTCATGTTAATAGACAGCCCCTAATATTAGGAATGCTAATTAATCAGCTCTAACCTTATTTTCATCTTTTATAACTTATCCAAAATAATTAAACAGCAAAAAGAACATATCTCTCAAAATCCTCTTGAAGTAGTTAGTAACAAGATGGTTATACCTTTATTTTTTAACTAAAATTTGAAGCATGGGGATAAAATTTGACTTGTTGAAGAAATAAGCCAGCAGTGGACTCAATACTTAATTCAGTTTTCTGATTAAAGAAGGCTCAAACAACTATGAAGTCCTTCCCCAAAATGAGGACTGCTCTAAGCAGTCTCTGGGAGCCTCTATCTGGTGGGATTCATGTGGCATACCTGAATCAGGGGCCAATGTAAACACTCCCAATTCTCCCCGTGCTTAGAACTTTCTCATTGATCAAGTCTCCGCTCACATCATCTTCTCCCAGGGCCCTTCCCCAATCATCCTCCTATCACCCTGCCTCCACAGACTCTATCATACTACTCTGTTTCCTCCACAGCATTTATGACTGCTTAAAATGACATCCATTCCTAACACACTTACTGTGGGGACCTTCATGAATTAGGGACATTTTCTCCCATAAAATATTGAACTGAACATCTAGTAGATGCTCAAAATGTATTTGCTGAATGAATGAACGAACAAACGAATGAATAAACTCCCAAGGACTGCCCACATTCTGAAAAAGGATTCAACAGGGCCATGATAATATCCATGACACCCAAATACATCATAGACAAGGCTAACAGATATCCAAGAAGTTTCTACAAAAATCATTACCTCAGGCCCACCTGGTGTGGCTTAGTGATTGAGTGTTGACCCAGAAACCAGGAGGTCACAGTTTGATTCCCCATCAGGGCACATGCCCAGGTTGTGGGCTCGGTCCCCAGTAGGGGGCATGCAGGAGGCAGCCAATCAATAATTCTCATCATTGATGTTTATATATTATCTCTCTCCCTCTCCTTTCCTCTCTGAAATCAATTTAAAAAATATATTTTTAAAAAAGATTACTCCAGGAAGTAAAGAAGCAGTGGATAAAAACAAACAACAAGACTGGAATGAACCTAATCACAATAACAACATATTTGTATTATGCCATTCCATTTCCCTTCCCTATATTGATGAGGTTTATTTTTAGTTATTTATTTTTTAAATATATTTTTATTGATTTCAGAGAGAGAGAGAAACATTAATGATGAGAGAGAATCATCTATCGGCCACCTCCTGCACCACCCTACTGGGAATCAAGCCTGCAACCTGGGCACATGCCCTTGACCGGAATCAAACCTGGGACCCTTCAGTCCGCAGGCCAACGCTCTATCCACTGAGCCAAACCAGCTAGGACGATGAGGTTTATTTTTAAATCTCCCTGGATGGAATCATGAATCATTAGACTTTCTAGTATATGAGTTCCTGCCACTGTTCATTTAGGCTTTAAAGAACAATGCCTTTAAAAACAAATGTGGTTCTTCTAAACCTAAGAGCAGAAAGAGAACCTTACTACAAAACATAAAAACACCGACTGGCTTAAAGATTGTTATTGTGAAAGTGCTTAATATACATAATTTTAACATATGCCTACCTCTTCTAGTATTTATAGGTCCACCACGCATAGCCAGTACCAGCTTCAAGGTACAGCCTTCTGAAATGCTGTGGATAATTAATAAAAAAATAAACTACAATCATCAAAATACACTCACTGTTAAATATGTACATAATTACTGCTGCTTTACCAGGCATAGTGCCTGTCCTCTAAAAATAGATATAGCAATGTGCATAAATATAAAATGTTAATTTATTTACTTCTTAAATAATGAAAAAGTGAAGTTTTCATAATCCTTAAATATGACATTAAATTTCAGAATAAAAGTATTGGAAAGGATCTGTGACCATGTGGTTTAACCTCTTCATTTTACATGTAAGGAAAAAGAGGCCCTAAGAAAAAAGATTCTTATTCAAGACCCAAAGCATTAGAAAATAGCAGATATATTTAGTAAAATAGGAAACAGAAAAACAGTAAATCTACAAGGTCTCCCAATGCTCTTTCAGCTATTCCATATTGCCTTTTTGCTCTTTTCTTAAGAGTGAAGATTTATAGGAGGGGAAAAAGGCAAAATGTCAGACAGTATATCTGCAATTATTGGTATGCACAGTCCCACTTAGTAATGGAAGAAGGCCTTAATGGAAAATGAAAGACTTGGTGAAGAGCAATACTCTCTCACTCAATACTTGTGAAAATGGAAAGAAAAGAAACCTAGTCAGGTGAGAATTGGGTCAATATTCAAAGAAAAAAGCAAAGAATGCAAGATCAGAAGAGAAAGATCTAAAAAGGAAGGAGATTAATAGCTTAGAGCAGTGGTTCTCAACCTTCCTAATGCCGCGGCCCTTTAATACAGTTCCTCATGTTGTGGTGACCCCCAATTTCATGGTTACAAATAGAACATAATTAAAGCATAGTGATTAATCACAAACAATATGTAATCATATATGTGTTTTCCGATGGTCTTAGGCGACCCCTGTGAAAGGGTCGCTCGAGCCCCAAAGGGGTCGCGGCCCACAGGTTGAGAACCGCTGGCTTAGAGTGAATAATGAAAAAGTAAAACAAAGATTCAAAGGACAAGGATCAGGTAATATGGGGTACTGAGCCAACATATCTTTTTTTAATTAAATGTATTGGGGTGACATTGGTTTCCCAAACCAAAAAGGTTTCATGTACACAACTCAATAAAACATCATCTGCAATATTAGCAAATCAGATCCAATAATATATTAAAAAGATCATACACCATGATCAAGTGGGATTTATTCCGGGAATGCAAGACTGGTTAAATATCCACAAATCAGTAAATGTGATACATCACATAAGCAAATTGAAAGATAAATATCACATGATTATATCAATAGATGCAGAAAAGGCAGTTGACAAAATGCAACACCCTTTTTTGATAAAAACTCTCAGGAAAGTGGGAGTAGAGGGATCATACCTCAACATAATAAAGGCCATATATGACAAACCTACAGCCAACATAATACTCAATGGTCAACAACTAAAAGCTTTTCCCTTAAGAAAAGGAACAAGACAAGGATGTTCGCTTTCACCACTCTTATTCAACATAGTATTGGAAGTCCTAGCCACAGCAATCAGACAAGAAGAGATAAAAGTCATCCAAATTGGAAAGGAGGAAGTAAAATTCTCATTACTTGCAGATGACATGATATTGTACATAAAAAACCCTAAAGATTCCACCAGGAAACTACTGGACTTAATAAATGAATTCGGCAAGGTAGCAGGCTACAAAATCAACATCTAGAAATCAATGGCATTTTTATATACCAATAATGAACTTTCAGCAAGAGAAACTAAAAAAACAATCCCATTTACCATTGCAACAACAACAAAAATAAGATACCTAGGAATAAACTTAACTAAGGAGGTAAGAGACCTCTACTTGGAAAACTATAGGACATTGAAAATATAAATAGAGGAAGATACAAAAAGACGGGAACGTATACCATGTTCATGAATTGGAAGAATTAACATCATTAATATGTCTAAACTACTCAATGCAAACTATAGATTCAATGCAATTCCTATTACCAGTAAAATACCAATGGCACACTTCACAGAACTAGAATAAATACTCCAAAAATTTATATGGAACCATAAAGATCCCAAATAGCTGTGGCAGAAAGAAAAGAAAGAAGAACCAAGTTGGAGGGATCAGAATACCGGATATCAAACTATACTACAAAGTCATTATAATCAAACCAATGGATAAGAACAGAAGCCCCAGAAATTGACCCACACCATACAGTCAATTAATAATTGACAAAGGAAGCAAAAACATACAATGGAGAAAAGGCAGCCTCTTCAACAAATGGTGCTGGGAAAATTGGACGGACAGATGAAAAAGATGAAACTATACCATCAACTTACACCATACACAAGAATAAACTCAAAATGGATAAAAGACTTAAATGTAAAGCATGAAATCATAACAATCTTCGAAGAAAACATAGGCAGTAAAATCTCAGACATCTCACACAGCAGAATTTTTGCCGATACATCTTTAGGGCAAAGGAAACTAAGGAGAAAATAAACAAATGGGACTACATCAAAATAAAAAGCTTCTGCACAGCAAAGAAAAACCATCATCAAAATGAAAAGGGAACCCACTGAATGGGAGAACATATTTGTCAATGATACATCTGATAAGGGGTTAATATCCAAAACATATAAAGCACTCATACAACTCAACAAAAGGAAGACAAACAATTCAATTAAAAAATGGGCAGAAGAGTTAAATAGGAATTTCTCCAAAAAGGAAATACTGATGGCCAAGAGACACATGAAAAAATACTCAAAATAACTACTCATCAGAGAAATGCAAATTAAAACCACAATGAGATATTACCTCACACCTGTTAGAATGGCTATCATAAAAAATAAACAAGTGCTAGCAAGGATGTACAAAAAAGGGAACACTAGTTCACTGCTGGTGGGAATACAGACTGGTGCAGCCGCTATGGAAAACAGTATAGTTTCCTCAAAAAATTAAAAATGGAACTTCTGTTTGACCCAGTGATCCCACTTCTGGGAATATATCCTAAAAATCACGAAACATCAATCAGAAAGAATATATACATCACTATATTCATAGCAGCGTTATTTACAATAGCTAAGTTTTTTTAACAGCCCAAGTGCCCATCAGCAGATGAATGGATAAAAAAGCTGTGGGATATTTATATAATGGAATACTATGCAGGTATTAAAAAGAGGGACCTCTTACCCTTTGGGACAGCCTGGAGGACCTGGAAAATATTATGCTAAGTAAAATAAGCCAGACAGAGAAAGAAAAGTATCACATGATTTTACTTATTTGTGGACTCTAATGAGCAAAATGAATTGACCAATAAAATAAGACCCGAAGCATGGAGGCATGAAACAGATTGACATATCTTGAGGTGGGGTTGGGGGAATGAGAAGAGATAAACCAAAGAACGTATATACTTATATGCATAGCCCATGGACAGGGGCAATAGGGTGGTAAAGTCCTGGGAGGGGGGGGCATTGGGGCTGGGAGCAGGGGGTAAAGGGGGTAAATGGGAGATATCTATAATACCATCAACAACAAAAAAACACACATCCTATCTAATAAAGAGGGAACATGCTAATTGACCCTCATGTCATTGCAAAATGGCAGTGCCCACAGCCAATAAGGAGGAAATATGCTAATTACTGCCCCACCCTCAAAGATGGCGGCGCCCACAGCCAATCAGGAGGGGATATGCTAATTGACTGCCATACCCTCAAAGATGGCAGCACTCACAGCCACAAGATGGCGGCGCCCAGTCCTCTCCACCCTGCTGGGGTGGCAGGTGTGCAGCAAGGCCGGGCCCGCCCACAGGCAGGCCCGGCCTTGCCACATGCCTGCCTCCAGAGTCCCTCAGTCCCCTCAGCTCCCCAGCCAACCAGGGCTGGCCTGAGGCACAGGCAAGCCTCAGATGGTGGCTGCCCAGCCGCCCAGGGCCGGCCCGAGGCTCAGGTAACCAGGGCCGGCCGAGGCTCAGGTAACCAGGGCTGGCCGAGGCTTGTGCTGCTGGCAGTGGCAGCAGCAGAGGTGATGGGGTGTCGCCTTCCCCTGATTTCCGGGTCACCTCCCGCCCCTGAGGACTCCTGGACTGTGAGAGGGCACAGGCCAGGTTAAGGGGCTCCTCCTCCAGTGCATGAATTTTCATGCACTGGGCCTCTAGTTAAAATATAATAATAAATTGGCAAAAAACAACAACATTATCTGCAAACTGCGTTGTGTATCCATCACTCCAAGCAAAATCTCTTTATGTCCCCATTTTCTCCCCCTTTGCCCAGCTCCACCTACTCCCCACTGCTCCTTTCTCTCTATCACCATACTGTTGTCTGTGTCTGTATAGTATGTATATAAGTTTTTTGGCTAATCCCTTCACCTTCTTTCATCCAGTCCCCGCTTCCCCACCCCTCTGACAGCTGTCAGTCTGTTCCACACGTTTCCATGCTTCTGTTTGTTTTGTTCAACAGTTTATTTAGTTCGGGATTTACACTGAAATCTAAAAAACAGAACTATTCAGAAGAAGAGACATGATCCACGGATTCAGAAGAAAAACAATGGTACTAAATGAAGTCGCAATACTGAGCATCTATAAAACAATTAATATGCAATTACACTCACTTGTAATCATTCAAGCAATAATCATCTTCAAGTTCCACGTTATTCCAAATTAAGTGCTGCTGACAGATGGGAATACCTTAGGGAAAGGTTATAAAAAAATGGTTTAAAATGCAATAGAATCTTCTTAAAAGTATGATACAAAGCTATGTATGAAATGAAAATAATAACAACAACAACAAGAAATTAAACACACTTCTATATTGAATTCTGAGTGCTTAACTAAAATTTACAGAATCACAGGTAAAAGACATAGCTAAACGTAGATATAGTCCAATCCACTCACTTTAGAAAAGAACAGTATGTTTCAGTAACTCTCTGACCTTGAAACTGGAAGACAGTTCTAAATGCTCCAAAGTACAAGTCTTCATTCAGGGTTACAGTCAAGGTTAAACGTATGAGTGGGAATGGGTAAAGGCAGTTAAAACGTACAAATTCCCAGCCATAAAATAAGTCATGGGGATGTAAAGTATAATATGGAGACTAGAATTAATAATATTGTGTTGTATATCTAAAAGTTGCCAAGAGAGATCTTAAAAGTTTTCATCACAGGAAAAAAAAAAACACAAAAAACTTTTGCCCTGGCCAGGTAGCTTAGTTGGTTAGAGTGCTGTCCCAATATGCCAAGGTTGCAGGTTTGATCCCTAGTCAGGGCACATACAGAAATAGACCAATGAATGTATAAATAAGGGGAATGACAATTTGATGCTTCCCTTCTCCCCTTCCTCTCTCTAAAAATCAATAAAAATTTTAATTAAAAAAAACTTTTGTAACTTTATGCTGATGGATATTAACTAGACTTATTGTGGAGATCATTTTGCAATACATACAAATATTAAATCACTAGAGGCCCAGTTCACAAAATTTGTGTACTCGGTGGGGGGGGGGGGGGGTCCTTCAGCCCAGCCTGCAACCTCTCGAAGTCCAGGAGCCCTCAGGGGATGTCCAAATGACGGCTTAGGCCCACTCCCCACTAGCAGTCATCCTTAGCGCTGCCGTGAGCCCGGCTCAGGGCTTCTGGCTGAGCAGTGCTCCCCCTGTGGGAGTGCACTGACCACCAGGGGGCAGCTCCTGCATTGAGCGCATCATAGTGACTGGTCATTCCACCATTCAGTTGATTTGCATATTAGCCTTTTATTATATAGGATTATGTGGTGCACCTGAAACTCATATATGTCAATAATAGCTAAATAAAAAAAATAGCAAGAGACAGAAAGGTGGTGGCCAAATAGGCAGACCTTTCTTGCACATCCTCCCAGGGCCAGACTAGAAATACCACTAAAGTGGGGAACATTCATCTGGAATTACCAACTGAGGTCCAGCTGAGGAGAAGGCTTATATCAAGGAAAGACAGAAAACGCCTGGCGACCAGTGGGAAGGGCGAGGTCATGAGAAAGGCTGACCCAGCTTTCACAGGCAGCAGGCCAAGAGTGAAGAGGAAGTTCTCGGCTACAGGAGGGTTTTTTCCCCTGAGAAGATGGAGGCCCAGAACCCAGGCTGGACTCCTCATACTAGAGCACTAGAGCCAAGACCAGTGACCCACGTAACATCCAGCTATGAAAGGCAGCAGGACCACTGACCACCAGGGAGTGTGGAGCCCGTCAGACATAAAGCTGCAGGGTGTTTTTTTGTTGTTGTTCTTGTTTGTTTTTTAACCCAGAGCACAGGATTTTCATTTTTAGCAACTAACTTACCCCAGGCTTCAGTGGAGGGAGAGTGGTGTGAACTGAAGATACCTGAGGAAAGGCTGGGGTAGGAAACACTGGGTGGGGAGAGGCATGGAAAAGAGGTGGCTGAGAGACCTGCATCCAGTTGCACCCTCACAAACTGAAATGGCCATTTTCCTCAGAGGCTCTGGCCCATTCTAGTAGCCACAGCTCAGGAAAAGGAAAAAAAAACCACCCTAGGCGATACATCCAGCCTCACCCTCAGGAGCCCTGCATCTTGAGCTTTGCAGGGGAGACAAAATCAGAGGCCAAGCCTATAGGTTTGAACAGTCTCAGGAAGCATGAGTCACTTCGCTGATAACCATCCCACCAACCCAGGAACCTGACTGGTGCTTTCCCCTCATAGGAGAGATGATAGAAATTCCAGGTTTCCAGCTGATCCCACTGGATTGCATACAAGGATCTCTGCCCAGCTGAGGGCAGAGTAAGATTCTGGATCACTCTCCTTCCTAATTCTCTCTTCTTTTGTGGCTACATTTGTTGTTGTTGTAGGTGGATTGTATATGTTTTTATTTTGTTTCTTGTTTTGTTGTGTTTTGCTTTGTTCTGCCAGCACCTGCACAACAGCTCTCACAACTTAGTCAGGGGTGAGCCTAAATGTCAGCCAGCCTGAGAGGAGATTCCTCCCATGAACAGGACAGCAGCGTTCAGGACCCAATTATAACGGGAGAGCACAAATAACTCACAACCAGGGACATTCCTGGATCGCCCAGCTTGGGGTATCTAAGAGATTGCACCACTGGGCCCCACAAAATCCTTACTTGTAAGGCAATCCTATGAAGACTGGGAGGCATAGCAATTTGCTCTAATACACAGAAACAAATACAAAGGGAGAGACAGAGAAACAACCCCCAAATGAAATATGAAGAGGAAACCCCAGAAAGAGCTAAATGAAATGGAAGCAAGCAATTTATCAGATATAGAGTTCAAAGTAATGGTTATAAGGATGCTCAATGAACTTAGTGAGAATTTCAAGAAACTTAGTGGGAACTACAGTAGTATAAAACAAGAAATACAAACCAGAAATAATAATTAGTTGAAAATTAAGAATAACATATCTGACATCAAGAATACACTGGAAGGGAAAAAAAGTAGATTAAATGAGGCAGAAGATCGAATCAGTGACTTGGAGGACAAAACATAATTAGAGCAGCAAAAAAGAAAATAAGAATTGAAAAGCAGGAAGATACTTTAAGGGAACTTGGGGACAACATGAAATGTAACAACATTTGCATCATAGGGGTGCCAGAAGGAGAGGAAAGTGAGCAAGGAATGGAGAGCCTGTTCAAAGAAATAATGACAGAAAACTTTGCTAACCTGGTGAAGGAAAAAGTTACACAATTCAGGAAGCACGGAGAATTCTAATCAAGATGAACCCAAAGAGACCCACTCCAAGACACATCATAATAAAAATGTCAAACATTAAAGACAAAGAAAGAATCTTAAAGGCAGCAAGAGAGAGATTGAAAGTTACTGACAAGGTAACTTTAGAATAACATTAGAATGTCAGCTGATTTCTCAAAAGACACACTTGAGGCCAGAAGGGATTTACATGAAGTATTCAAAGTAATGAAAAACAAGGACCTGAACCCAAAACTACCCTATCCAGCAAGGCTATCATTTAAAATTGAAGGGGAAATAAAAGCTTCCCAGACCAAAAAAAAAAAAAAAAAGGCTAAAGGAGTATATACCACTAAGCCAGGATTGCAGGAAATGCTAAAGGGAGTGCTTTAAGAAAAAGAAGAAGAAATTGAGAGAGAGGAACATATGTATAAAGAAAAAAGTGGCAGTAAATAAGTACCTATCAATAATAACCTTAAATGTAAATGGAGTAAATGCTCCAATCAAAAGAACTGAGTAGATGATTGGATAAGAAAACATGACCCATATACATGCTGTCTACAAGAGACCCACCTCAAAACAAAAGATTCACACAGACTGAAAGTAAAGGGATGGGAAAAAATTTTCCATGCAAATGGAAAAGAAAAAAAAGCAGGGGTAACAATACTTATACTTGGCAAAATAGACTTCAAAGCAAAGGCTGTAAAAAGAGACAAAGATGGCCACTACATAATACTAAAGGGATTAACACAACAAGAGGATATAACCCTAGCAAACATACATAAACCCAATATATATGCAATATATAAAACATTTAGTTTACTGTCCTTAGGGGTTTGTATTCTAAAAATCTGTTCCCAGAGTAACATGTTCACATGGAATGATGACTGCTTATATGTGAATTTATTTAGTGATTAAGGTGGCATCTTTCACATTTCTTGTGAATGGGAATGCCAGTAACTTTGAAAAGAGAAAGCAGAAAATATAATTTCCAATAAAAAAAACATTAATATATTAGAAAATTCCTTCCACTTCAGTGTTTGTCTGTGATTATAATTGTATATTAACATCCTTTTTTTGTAGAGCTTGAATACTAATTACAGAATAACTCGGTCTTGGAAGGAAAAAAGTATATTATGAACAATTTTCAATGCTAAAAATAATAGCCTGAATGACCGTTTCTTTACATTTTTGTGATGTTAAAGGAATATTAAGGTAGATTCCACACTCCAGCATAAGTAACCTTTTTTTGGCGGGGGGCGGGAGGCAGGGGGCAAACTGCACATTTGAATGCCCAAAGAATATTTGCACTATACTAGCCAAAGAATGAGCATTATATACACAGACAGCATTTAATGGATACTGATATTGATGAAAATCTTTTTCAAACATGTCACATACTGCCTTCTCTAATTACTTTTGCTTATGATACTATAAAATAAATTCACTAGAATAGTAACAGTAAGTGCTATTTGCAAATACACTGGCACCCATATATTACTTATCACAGCTTTGTTTATAATAATGAATAATTGGATAGGTAAAAATATCTCTTAATAGAAGACTGTATAAGTAAATTATGACAAATATATATTAAAGTGCCATCCATTTGTTAAACACACAAAAAAAATGTTTTAAAAAGAAATATATCCCAAATGTTACGAATAGATCCTATAGTTCTAGAGGCTGGAAAGTCCAAGATCAAGGTTCTAGAAAAATAGGTTTCATTCTGAGGCCTCTTCTCTTGGCTTGTAGGCATCTGACATCTTCCTGTGTGCTCACATGACTACTTCTTTCTGAGTGTACACAGAGAGAATGGGAGCTTTCTTGTGTCTCTTCTCATAAAGGCACTAATCCCATCAAGAGGGGCCCATCCTCATGACCTCATCTAATCCTAATAATTACTCAAGCACATGGCTTTGTCTTTTTTAGAGTTTTCACACAGATACATTTGTGTTTGACAACATGTTCATATCTGCATTTAGAAAATAAACCAGAATCAGTAGGATTT